GTGTATTAATTTTGTAGCCTGTACAAATCTATTGTTTTTAGGAGCTTTTTTTGCAGGGTCTATAGGATTTCCTAATATGATATCATGTCATCTGCTGATAGTGAGCGTTTGACTTCTTCCTTTCCTATCTGGATGCCCTTGATATCTTTTTCTTGCCTAATTGCTATGGCTGGTTATTCCAGACCATGTTGAATAGTAGTGGTGAGAGCAGCCAACCTTCTCTTGTGCCTGATCTGAGCAGGAAGGCTTTTAGTTTGTCCCCATTGAGAATGATGCTTGCTGTGGGTAGATGGCTTTGACTATATTGAGGAAAATTCTTCAATTCCCATTTTGGCAACCCAGAATGGTGACTCTGGGTGAAAAGTAGGGTCCTCAATGCTGCTGAGCTTCCTCCCATGTGGCAGTTTTTGGACAGCCCAGCTGGTGGGTCCGTGCAATTGCTGGTGGCCGCTATGTTGGTTGGCTTTGCAGTTCCGGAGATTACTTGGACAGCCCAGCAGTGCTCTGGGCTGGGGCTAAATCCAGCACTCTCTGGAGGTCATGCAGTGCCGGGGATTGAACTAGGGATGGCGGCATAGAAGGCAGGTGCCTGAAGCCCATATTCTCAGGCCCTCTGTTTATAGTTCAAGAATGTGAATTTTATCTTGTCTTAGACAAATGCCTTATTGATTAATGGGACTCAGGAAAAGGGAATCTTTCCTGACCTTTGGCTGAAGCCAGATCTAAAATAGACCAAGGCAGGAAGTGCAGTCCTGGGTTCTTGGACTGTCCCCTGAAAGATGCCCGATCACACCACAATCACATATGTACACTTTCAAAGCCATTCTTTATGGGATAAATTTTCTTTTATCTTTCTTTGAAAAAATAATTTAAAAAGCAAAAGGAAAAAGATCTGTCCGAATTGTTCCTTACCACTGTAAGATACCACTTGCCTGAATTATATTTAGAGTTTCTTTGTTGCTTATAGAAAAAGCGACAAAGCTTCTCAAGACATGCCTTCTCTTTATGCCCTAACGTGTGGACCTAAGTTTTGTGTGTGTGTCTGAATCAGCTCTCTGCCACGTTTAATTTTTTTGTTTTGAAGTTATTGTTTTCTGCATGGTTTTTGCTAAGCATTATGCTAGATGATTTGCGTTTGTTATTTTCATCTCCTTTAAGCACTAATACTGACATTTTAGAACTAAGAGTATAACCAGCGAGCCTATACTTACTGCCTCGACTACTCAAGTTCACTGTTCATCTCATTCTCGCGGCTCATGCCTCCACTGTGTGTGCTGACAAACAAGCAGCCCTGGCTGTCTTCTAGCCTTCCCTGAAATCGCTTCATCTGCCCACACAAGCAGTAAATAAGAGAAGCTCTGCCCCCAAGGCCCACACACTGCCTTCTGTGCTACCCGGGAGCTCTTGAAGGGAGTGTTCACTCAGGATAGCATTTTGTGATCCCTGTGCCTAAAATATTACCAGGATTCATAAAACTTTATTGACGATGTTGCTGGTGATGATGAAGGTAGCATTTGGTATTAATAGATGATTTTAATTTCGGTTCCCTTCCCACACACCTTCCTTAAGCCTTCAACGTTTGAATGCTTCCCACACTTCTCTATCCACAGTTTGACTTTAGCTCTGCACTTCACACCCTGAGCCTCCACAGAGTGGGATGTTCAGCTCTCAAAATTTTAGAACCACTGTTCTACTTTTAAAAATGAACATTTCTGCCAGACCCCGGGAGAGGCCTGGGCACAGTGCCAGGGCGCACTGAGGCTGTGTACCCTCGGATACTAGGGTGAAGTTCAGTGCTTTTCTGAACTCTGTGTAAAGGGACATTAATTAAACTCTGCCTCTGTAGCACACATGGCAAACAGTGGTTCTGCACTCCGCAGATAAGTGGGCTTTGCTTCAAAGCCAGAGGAAACATCATTTGTGACTCTTACAATTTATTAAATTGTCTCTACTTGTCAAGACAATAAAATGGTACTGCAGCGGGTATAGCGATGTCATGACTGACAACTTTTGTCAGAAATGCTCTCATTTATTACTTTCAATTTCAAGAAAAACTCAATACTGCACAGTGCCTACAGATATTGTTAAAGTGTACATAGCATCACTCTGATGCCCTACAGCACAGGCAGGAGGAGTCGTCTGCTGGTGTATTTCCAGCACGCCAAGGAAGCTCTGCTGTAGATCAGGGCACACACACACACACACACACACACACACACACACACACACACACACACACACACACAGGGCTGGCATGCTTTGGGAGAGCACGGTATCACCTGGTAACTGGGAAAGGCCAATAAAGGCTAGACTGACTTGGGAAGGGAACGAGAAGGAACAGTATACAGATAACTGTATCAGACTTAAAAGCTTCCGCACAGTTAACAAACCACAGTCTAAAAAGGCTCCCTACTGAATGGGAAAAGGTGCTTGTACATTGTACCCTGGATACAGGACTAATACTCAGAATGTTCAAGGAGCTCATCAAACTCAATAAAAAGACAAATAATTTGGGCTAGGGAGATGGCTCAAAGGGCTGAGTGCAAGGTCAGGATTCCAGGTGTGCCCCCCTCCCCAAAACTGCCAGGTATAGCTTCCTCAGGTGTCCCCAGAGGCACCCCTGGGCCTCACATTTGAACTGTCTGGTCCTTTTGGCCAAGTAGCTCCAGCTGAGACCCAGGACTCCTGAACACTGCTTGGGCAAACTCTCCAGAACAACTTGATTACAAAATAGGCAGAGTTTCTGCATACTCACTTCTCCAAAGACGGTAGCTCTATGGTTTAAGTTACTGATTTATTAATTTATTAGATTTTTTTGTTTGTTTTTTTGCCAGATACAGTGGTGCTCAGACCGTCTCTTGGCTCTGTGCTCAGGTGACTGCATGTATCCTGGGGATTGAGTTTGAGTTGGCCATGCAAGGCAATGAATGCCTTACCCCTTGCATGGCCTCTCTAGCCCCAGAAGTCGTTTTGTTTTGTTTCTTTCTTTTTTTTGTATCATGTTTATTAAAGTGAGTTTGGCCTTGGGAAGACTTTACATATATTGTGGATTAGCACCTGTGTGTTTTCAAAGTTGCTTCCATGTTCCTCGGGTTCATCTAGAATATTCTTTACTCTTGGAGGGGTGTTTAAGCACAATTCTTCAAGTGAGACTCTTCTAGGTGATGAGTGAGATTTCTCAGTGCAGCTGGTGAGGCCCACTGGTTTCTGTAATCTGGGTGAAGTCCAGGCCCTTTCGGCATCCAGCTCCTCACTAACTCTTCGCCTCGCTTGACTCGGTCTCCTTCTGTGTGGCCTCAGGTTAATACCACATTATCCATAGATCCAGGTTTTCCATCTGTAGCTTTAGGAGGTCTTTCTCCTTTTCACTCCCTCCCACTTACTTACTCCGGGAGTCCCAGCCAGTGTGTTTTCCTGTTCCCATCTCACTCTGCTCAGCTCTGGGGGTCACGGACCTCCTCCTGCTGCGTCTCAGCTGTCTCTACCTCATCTTGTTCCCTTTCTCCCAGCCACAGTCCAGCCCAGACTGTTGTCCACTGTCTGAAACAGTCTCGGTGCTTTATTTATAGTGGGATGACGATTTAGCTGGTGGCTTTTCCTTCCTTCCTTCCTTCCTTCCTTCCTTCCTTCCTTCCTTTTTCTAACTATGATTAGGAATGAAATGCTTTCATTTCTTTTCTGAGGTGAATTGAGCATAGGAAATCTAAGAATGGTGACGAGAAACAGGGATTTGAGATTTGGAAACCAAATTTCATTATTTATTATACTTGTACACTCTTGGCTTTCACTTATGTTCTGTTTTGGTTTCCTTATCTCTGATGTAGAGATGCTCACAGTGGTGATGGCCAAATAGCCAGACCACGGTGTGATATTAGGGATGAACTCGCTCTCCATCCTGACTGTGAGGTTGACCTGCTCGGTGACTCAGGGTCCACCATGTCTGGAAGAACAAGCCTTTGATATGGTGCTTGCAAGCTGATCATACTATCAGGATTGCTGCAATTTTAGCCTTGATTTCAGGAGCTGGATCTCCTTCATTACTTAACAAAACTCCTTTTCCTTAAGTACTACACACAGAGACAGTTGAATAGCAGGTCCTCCATAGGACCTATGTATATGTACATGTGTTTTTGTGTGTGCATGTGTTTTTGTGTGTGTGCCTGTCTGTGCATGTGTGTATATGTGTGTGTACGTACATGTGTTTGTGTGTGTACATGTGTTTTTGTGTGTGCATATGCCTGTGTGTGCCTGTGTGCATATGTGTATGTACATGTGTTTGTGTGTGTGCATGTGCATGTGTTTGTGTGTGCCTGTGTGTGTTTGTGTGTATATGTGTGTGCATGTGTTTGTGTGTGTGCGTGTGTGTATGGGGGCATTTTAAAAGGGATTATCTGTATAATTCATTCAATTTCCCTGTTTAATCACATGATGAATGTCTTTTAGCTAATAATGAGAAGTTTTTGTAGTATTAAGACTGTCATTCACAACACAATATTTTAAAACAAATGTATCTAGTTTTCTTTTTTAGATCCCTAGAAGACCTTGAATGACCACATGTACTGTTGGAGAAACATGAGGGAAAGAAAGAGTTACCATGGAGTCTCTCTGATATCCTTAATGTGGCAGGTAGACAAAAATAAGACTTGTCAGCGATGGGATGGGATGTGACACTTTAGCTCAGCCACAGAGATCACAGCCTGTGTGCGGCCACCACCACCACTGGCTCTCAGCTGGAAACGGCGCCATTTAATTAGCTCTTGCTTGTATTTTGTTTACTGATTGACATAAATTATATTATATTGTCATTCAGAGAAAATTAAAAAGGTTTGCCTTTGATCTAAATTAGTCTTTTGGTGACATTTGAACTAGATATCACAATAAAAAACTATAGTTATCCAGGCCAAAAAAAAAAATAACATCTTCTGATCAGAATTTAAGAGAACTGATTAAGGATAACTTTGGCTTGAGACAAATTCACTCTTTTTTGGGGGTGGGGGACATACTCTCAGAGATCACTCCTTGGGGGCTTGGGAGAGCAAATGGGAACCAGAGATTAAAGCCAGCAGGCCATGTGCAAGGGAAGGCTCTGCCTCTTGCCAACAGCATATCTCATCAGAAGTTTATTTGGTTTATAAAAATGCGTACACTACCTCTGAGATTCATGGTTCAAATTCCACAACTATCTCTAAATTCCTCCATCCTCTCATTCCTTCATTCTTCAAAGATTGAGTCCCAGTTGTTCATTTAAAGAATATTGCTTATGTACAATTCTCGAATGGAGTACTTTTCATATTTATACCCCATTGAAAAGCTTTTTTCCCCTTCCTGATTTTTATAAACTCTTTCTATAAGACTTGCAAAAGGTTGAAAAATGTCTTTTCTAAAAGGTAGAATGACATGTCGTGTTGATTAGTGAGGTTGGTTTCCCTCTGAGGCCTCTGTGGGGGCCTATCCCATCACGCTTGATACCTAAGATGTTCCTTGTGGGGACTGGAGCTCTTTCTGGCTCATGTGGCAGCCCCGCCCACACCCAGCACTGGTGGTTATGTCCAAGTTACACACGGGCAAAGGGGGCTGATGGGGGCTTCACATACTAGAGACAGTGTGCATGCTTTCTACTTAGCCCACCCTCTTGCTTTCCTCCCCAGCCCCCAGTTCTCTTAATTTTCTTCCAAAAAATAACAACTAAATTAGAAGACACTGTTCTGAAGTTGACGTCCTCTTGCCCCTGTCCTTCATTAAAAACAGTCAAGGCAGCAATAAGTTAAAGCCAAGAGGATCATTTGTGTGTTTCTTATAGTTGTAAGTTTTCAAAAACATTTCAACAAAGGAAATATTCAAAATCTGTACTAACATACTGGTCTCTCTTCATTCTGCTGCCCTTGGATTACCACTGTCACTTAGCTTGAAATCCAGCACAGGTCACCATGAGATCCAGTGTAGGTCAACACAGGATCCACTGTAGGCCACCATGGGATCCAGTGTAGGTCATCATGGGATCCCATGTATGTCACCATGGGATCCAGTATAGGTCACCATGAGAACCAGTGTAGGTCGTCAAGGGATCTAGTGTAGGTCATCATGGGATCCAGTGTAGGTTGTCAAGGGATCTAGTGTAGGTCGTCACAGGATTCAGTGTAGGTCATCACAAGATCCAGTGTAGGTCACCATGAGATCCTGTGTAGGTCACTATGGGATCCAGATCAGTGTAGATCACCACAGGATTCAGCATAGGTTACCATACATGCTAAATGCTGCATAGGCAGATTATTAGCTCTGAAGCGTTCCACAGAATCTCAAACTTCTGGGCATTTTGACCACAAGCACGGGAACTATTTAAGGGCTCCTGGTCAGTGATCAGCAAAGAATTTGCTCCTGATGGAGTGGCAGCCTCACCATGGGGTACTTTTAGGAAAGTGACACCCTGGAGAGCAATATTATAGTCCTGTATTCATAAAGTACTGGTCCACAAATGGGAGATTTAACAATGCTTGCTGGAACAGCTAATTACATTTTTAAAATCATACATAATACAAAGATAGTGTCAGCGAAACAGACCGTGGGGCACCCAAACCCAGTTACCTCTGCCTGGAGCACCCCTGTGTCCACAGCCCAGCGTGCAGACGGCGGGCAGGCACGCAGAGGCAGTCTCCCGTTCCCCCTCCTCAGCCTCAGTCCAGCTCCCTACAGCCACTTACCAGTGAATTCTTGTTGTTAACAGCCAGGCCCTTAAATGCCCTGGTTATGGGAAGATAAAACATTTCCAGGTTCATAGTCCTATTGTGACACTCTTAGCTTGTGACTATAGTAATTATCAAAAGTATTTTCTGTTTTTCTGAAAACAGAAAATATTTGTCTGTACAAAGTGACACAGCATAAATTCCAGAATTGAATAACAAAATTGCAATCTTTCTCCTGCATTAACATAGTGGAAAACAATAAATACAAAATTTAGGTGATATAAGAACATAAAGAAAGTGTCCGAGGCTCTGGAAATGTTTATGTCAGAGGGAGCCTGCACATCCCTGGGCTGTGAGGCTTCTGTTCACACATGCCCCAGCCGAAACTCCCTGTCAGAGTGAAGTGGAGTGCGCTCCCTTGGATTCTGTGAAGTTACTACAGGCCCGAGGAGCACTTTCCTGGACAGGTGAGCCTGGGAGTCTGCAAGGATCCAGTTGGCCTTCTCCCTTTTCACCCCTGGGACTAGAGGATCGGAAAATGTTGCCTGTGGAAAGAAGGAAAACACAAAAGTTCAGATCCCCCCAAAGTGAAGAAACAGATGCCAGGGACACCGATTCTCAGGAACATGTTAGTGACACTGAATTTTCCACTTGAATGTTTCACAAGCTGTCGAGACTCGACGTCCTGGGGAGGAGAGGGAAGCCCCCGTGTCTCCTCGCCTGCACCCCTCCTCCTGCTCCAGCCTGTGGCGGTCTCCATGTGAGCCCCCGAGGGGCCTCGACCATCCCCTCTCCTGCACTTCCACTCCTCGAACTGTGCTGTCTCCAGCTGGTTCTACACACTGTCTGTCCTTCGTTAATAGGCCGCACAGAGGAAACGAGGATTGAATACATAGAGAACTTTATTTTGATGTGGACATTTTTAACAAGGTGAATATTTCTGCATTAGCATCTGCTGTTGCATCAGACCTAAAACTTCTCAACTTCTTTTTCCAAATCTTCTGTATCTAATGACTACATTCCTAGTCATCTGAATATGAGTAGATATATAATTTCTAGTTGACAGTCTAGAAAGTAATAGCTCACTGGTACTCCATTTAAAATATAATGATTGCTAGGAGAATTTTATTAGAGAAAGCAAGAAAAATAGAGTAAAATTGGCAGATGTCAAACTTGCTTCTTATTACTTTTCCCTTCAGAATTTTGTTATATAATTCCAAAATTATACAGAGGGGCCACAGAAGTTACTCACCTCTGTAAATCAAAGACATACAATCAGAGGCAAGGGATGTTTTTTTAAAGTACAAAATCTGCCCCTCTCGGAGAGCCTGGCAAGCTACCGAGAGTATCTTGCCCACATGGCAGAGCCTGGCAAGCTACCCGTGACGTATTTGATATGCCAGACACAGTAACAAGTCTCACAATGTTACTGGACCCCCTCGAGAAAATTGATGAACAACAGGACAGTGACAGTGACAGTGACAAAATCTGAAAGGGAATGGGCGTTGAGCAGAATTTACCTTACTGAGTGTGTTTGTATTGACTCTGCCCTTTGCCTCTGACACAATCCTCTTTCTTTCTCACTCAACAGAGGACTGGAGCATTCTGTTAATCTACAGGGAATTATTTCACTAGCTGCAGGGTTTCAAGGAAGCCATAGCTGGTGCCGAAGGAAGCTTCGTGGGTCCTTCTATGGACTGGCCCCTCCACGTCCAGCTGTCCTGTGTCCACCAAATGCCCCCATTGTGCTCAACCCAAGCCTATGCTGGCATTTACTGGTTGTTTTGCTTTCTTCACTACTAATTGCCAAAGGATAAATTCTTCTTCAGGTTTTGAAGAACACCAAACCCTTCATTGTGAGGGCACTTATTCAATGCTCCTTGTGACAACTAAATTGGATTCAGAAGAAAAAAATCACCCAGTTCTTAGACAGGCAGAGAAGATCCCACATGACAGGAGGAAGGTCTGGATGGGTGGAGTAACCAGGGCTGGGGGTGGGTGGCAGCAGTGTGACTCAGACATTCACTTAGCCATCCCTGTATTAAGATGGACCATTTCCTCTGATGCTCAGTGGCTCTGTGGCAGGGCTCTGCCCAGGACCCTCTGGGTCTGAGAGGATGTGCTGAGAAGTCAGAGTTTCCATGGGGGTCGGTCCCTGTGCAGCCGTGCTGAGGTGCGAGAGTTTTCATGGGGGTCCTTTGTGCACAGTTCCTACTCTTGGGGCCTGAGAGAAAGAGCACCTGCAGCGGCCCTCAAAGAGGAGAAACTCTTCCTCCCCAGCCTCTCTGGGTCTCTTTCCGAGGCTCGCTCATATCTACTCTAGGGTAGATGCTGTCACTTCCGGTCCCTGTGAGACATTGTCCCAGGAAGCAATGCCACCTGGCACCTCTGAGTGTTCCCGGGAAGTAGGACATATCTGGGTGCCCTGTGGAGAGGGCAGACGGCCAGGGACAGGCAGCTCCCGAGGAGTTCACCGCAATCGTGTCTTCTCTGAGGTTGGCAAGGCAACAGGAAGAACCTCTCTCGGCCCCCGGGACACTCTTTCCTCTGGCAGATATTAGCAGCTTGTTTTTAGATAAATGGACATTGATGGTTTCATTGACACAACCCATTAACTTTTCCGTTTATGGGTTTTTAGGAGGAATCTAAGCTGCAGCAGGTTAATGAAGCCAATATTAACAAGTATCGGGGTGAATGAAATGGGGAAACTTACGTATTTATTGCTCGGGTGTGGGAAGCATTCATCAGGCTGTCAGTTTTTGCTTTTCCCTTGTGCAGAGGGCTCACCTAAAAGCAGAAGAGATGTTTTCATCTGTAAGCTGAGAGTGAATAAAGATGAGTCTAAAGTTGTTGGCTTGCTGGATATTTTTCAAGGAAAAGTACAATTTCTCTGCACGAATGTCATTAGAGCTACAATTTGCCTCTTGGTATTGCCTGGAAACTGTTCTCCGAGATTTATGAGCTTTTTTTTCAATCATCATCTGTTTTTGCTCTAAAGGAGCAATGCAGACTCTCTCCCTGGGGGTGGGGGTGTGAGCTGGGAGGTGATAACAAGAGAATAGTCAGGGAATGAGTTATTGATCTCGGCTTGTTCCATGAGCTGGCTCTGCCCAGGCTAACCGGTGCCATATATCTTAAGTGTCATTTTTATCATGGACACATTCTGTGGTTCTCTGTATAAAGACTCGGTGAGAATTTTGAGAAAATGAATTTATAGGGCAACTTGAATATTTTGGTGACTCAAGAGCAGCACAGGCATCACTCAAAATAGCATTGTTATATGCCCCCCCACCTCAATTTAAAGATAAGGAGCAGAGAGACCCTGAATTTCTATGTGCTCTTGGGTGTGGGCTCAGCGTGTTCCAGTCAAGTAAATGCACGTGTCATTAGCAATCACGCAAGATAACTCAGTGGCCAGCTTTCAGAAGAAACCTCTTCATTGTGTCCTGGCTCTCTCCTGCTGCTTGCTCAACCTCAGTGATAAAAAACGGTGCCAGTGATCGCCAACCCAAACAGAGCATGTGAGAGGACCCAGGGTCCTGGGCTGGAGAAGGGGGCACAGAACTCTGGGGATGGCTGTGCAGGGTGGGAAGGAGAAGACCCCCACTTCATAGCAGCAGACACGAAAGTCATTTACCCATTCATATCTCCCTTCAGGCTCTGTCTAGCAGTGATGGGAAAGTGTGAAGACGATCCAATATGACTGGGAGTTCTAAAGTGACATCTACGGGCAAGACAAGGAAACATGGAGAAAACCAGTGACCAGTAACACTGGTTCTATCAGCATGTCTTGTGCAAGTTTTTATTTTTCATTCTGCCCTCTCTTCCTCACCAAGCATAATGTGGGCCGTGGTCAGGGGGCAGAGATGCCAAATGCCTTGTTACCGTCTAGGGAGCAAACTCGAGCCCGGCCCTCCCCAGGACGTCTGCCTGCCTTGTGACTGGTTCTGCTTTGAATTTCCTACCTGAAGTCTACCTGGAATGATAGCACAGTGGGTAGGGCATTTGGCTTGCATGCGGCCAACCCGGGTTCAACTCCTCTGTCCCTCTTGGAGAGCCCGGGAAGCTACCGAGAGTATCCCGCCCACATGGTAGAGACTGGCAAGCTCCCCGTGGCATATTCGATATGCTGAAAACAGTAACAAGTCTCACAACAGAGATGTTACTCATGCCCGCTCGAGAAAATCGATGAACAACGGGAGGACAGTGCTAAAGTACTACCTGAAGACAGCACTACCAGCAGCCTTTGGTAGCTTGCTCTTAATTTTGAAAAACAGAGCATTTTTGCTTTATAAAATTGTTTTTTACTATCTATTTATAATGTGGTTTATTGTCGTACAGCTTTCATTTGACATAATACCTTCCTGGACTATTTGTGTCGTTAGAATTGGACATGGTTGCTGGGTACTGCAATTGCACTCAGGTAACTTGATAGTTCAATTAGAACCTTAAAAATTGCTTTGTAAAACTGCAACTTTCGCTAATCTGTGTTGTGAGAGTAATGTTTTAGGTATTCAGTCTAGTCAAAATAATCTGCATTGTCATTTTAAAAAGCTATCTAGTATCTCTTTTCATTGCTCTTGGTAGAAATGTACAAATCAAAGTGGTAGGATTTGAAAAATAAATTCTCAAATATTTGTTTTCCAAATCAAATCAAATTCTAAGATATTAGAGAAAAACAAGTGTAAATTTTACCAATAAGAAATTTTTGTCTTCTTTGGAAGCTCAGTTGAAATGATACAATGTGATATAAAATATGATTCAGTTTTTAACTGATGAGTCTTGGTTTGAGTTGGCCATACACAGCCGTTCCTAATGTAAAACAGACCACAATAGTAATAAAAGTTACACAGCCCATTGGAAGTTTCTCTGCCACTAATGTGGAATGAGAAGACCGCAGCCCCCCACCCCTCTGGGCCTCATTCCTCAAACCAGGGGTTGCAAGCCCAAGGTTGTGTAGCTCAGTGTGGGATTCAGGAAAAAAATCACAAAATTTTGTTTTAAAATAAATGACTTAATAATTTGTTATCAGTAAGTGTTTTACTTGTATACTTGCTTTATTTGCCTATATATTGGGCTCACGTGAAAATTCCTCAGGTGCAAAAAGGTCATGAGTGAAAAATGATGAGAAGTCCTCTCCCAAGGGTATCTACAGCCCCTCCCCCCAAATCCACAAAGTTCAGCGATCTTACCAAAAAATATTATTTCTAGAACTCATTTTTTCTTCATTGGAGAACTTTGTATTCATTAGAAGTTACTAACTGATGACTTCAAGAGAAGTTATACTTTTTAGTTATGTTTCACATGAACAAAATCCAAATAGGTTTTAAAATAACCATTTTTCATCTAACCAACAATTTGGGACCTTACCAGGCTCATGAGAAATTGTCTTCACAGTGAGAAGCTTGACGCTCTCCTTGTCAGACTGAGGTCTGTTTGGAACAGAAAACATCAAGTCAGCATCACGGTCATTGGCATGACTGTTGGTGAGAGGAAGTAAACCCGATAGAAAGAGGTGAAGACACCGTGCACATATGTGGAATTTGGCAGGGGGGTGGGGGGCATCTCCAGGGGTCGCTCCTAGCAGTTCTTGGCCAGCTCACTCAGTGCCGCTCAGAATATAAAACCGTGTGAGGTGCATGCAGGCTCGTCCCCGCCCCCATTAGCTCCAGGCAGGTGTGTCCTATGGACAGGCAGACACAGATACACTCACAGTCCTTCCACCTCTGGACCCAAGTCCCTCAGTCTGGTGCTCATCAAGTGCTCATCAAACATGCATCTGCGGGTCACTCTGAGAGAAGCCTGACATGGAACTTCTGCCACACCTGTGGGCCACTGCCGAGGCCGGGGACACTCCCTTTCTCAGGCCAGGGTCCCTCCGTCTGGACTCTGAGCTCCTTTAACTCCTACCTTTATCTCTCACATTCAAATAATTCCAAACCCTTGTTCCTTGCCCGGGGCGTCTCCCAGAGTCTGTGCCTCCGTGAGAAGGATAGGAGGCCTAAAGAGGGACACACACAGATACTACAGAATCAGGTTTTTTTTTTTCCTGAAAAACTCAGATTGTTTTCAGAAGAAAAATCCACAAAATGTAATACATATAAATATACATCACTGTCACTGACCTCCCGTAGTTCATCGATTTGCTTACGTGGGCCCAGTAACATTGTGAGAATTGTTACTGTGTTTGGCATATCGAATACACCATGGGGAGCTTGCCAGGCTTTGCTGTGTGGGCAAGATACTATTGGTAGCTTGCTGGGCTCTCCGAGAGGGATGGAGGAATTGAACTCGGGTGGGCCATGTTGGAAGGCAAACGCCCTACCTGCTGTGCTATCGCTCCAGCCCATATATATATATATATATATATATATATATATATATATATATATTTTCTTTTTTTCTTTTTGGGTCGCACCCAACAATGCTCAGGGGATACTCCTGGCTCTGCACTCACCGGTGTGAGCCTCATGCGAAGCAAATGCCCTATCCACTGTGTTATTGCTCAGAATATTTTTAACCCTAAACCAGTCTGCCTCTTTGCTGCACTGTGAGTGTATCATTTGGGCTGACTTGCAAATAACTTGTTTCAGTAAAGTCAAAGCAGAACCAACATTCGCACTCAGAGCAACAGGTTCAGAGTCATGCCAGGGATAGGCGTGACTGATCCCTGGCTTCCTACTTCTCAGCTGTGACACCATGATAAACGCATGGCACTCTAAGCTGGAAATCTAGGTAAATTTCTCCTTTTTTTCCTCTCTCCCTCTCTCATGCACTCACTTCCTTCCCTCTCTCTCTCTTTCTCTCTCTCTTTCTTTCTTTCTTTCTTTCTTTCTTTCTTTCTTTCTTTCTTTCTTTCTTCTTTCCTTCCCCTTCCTTCCTTCCCTCCTTCCCTCCCTCCCTTCCTCTTTCTTTCTTTCTTTCTTTCTTTCTTTCTTTCTTTCTTTCTTTCTTTCTTTCTCTCTTTCTCTCTTTCTTTTTTTTCTTTACCATACCCAGCAGTATTAGGGCTTGCTGCTGGCTCTGAACTCAGGGAATTATTTGGGTGATATGTTTTCTATGCCGTTTATCCCTTTGAGTTAGGGTTGCTTATATATCTCTCTCTCCATTTTGGTTTCTAATTTTATCATTGTGTATAGTTTTTTTTGTATGTTTTAGGACTGTACCTGGCAATGCTTAGGGGTTACTCCTGGCTCTGCACACAGAAATTACTCCTGGCGGTGCTTGGGGGACCATATGGGATGCCAGAGATCGAACCTGAGTCAGCAGCATGTAAGTGAACACCCTCTGTGCTGTATTATCTCTCCCACCCTTTATGTGGTTTTAAGAGCATTTGTCTTGCTTGGTGCCTGGACTCCATTGACTAGCAAACTCTAACTAGCTAGTCAACCCCCAAGCATAGTGCTTTGTGCACAAATTCTCTAAAAAAAAAAAAAAGCAAGGGGAAAAGTGTGGTAGAGGAAAAGCACTTCCCTATGTAGAGGGTAGGGCTGAAGCTTTGTAAGAAAGGCGAGGCAGTACTTACTGGTCGTTTCCGTTTTCCTGAGTGCCTAGGAGAGAGGGAGCATTAGAGCTGCAGGGAGCACGTCCCAGAGCCTGTCTGTGCCATGCCCTGTCTGGGTTGCATGTGTCTAAGGCCGTCCCTCAACACTGTCCTCCTGTCTCCCCAGTCTGACCAGCCATGCTCCCAGAAGCACTGTCTGTCCTGCTGGGCTCATCCTGACCAGACCCTCCTCTGAGTTTAGTCTCTCACCAGCTTTATTAGTTACAGTCACTCAGTGAAGCCACTATCCACTTTGGACATCCTAGAGACAGACATGGGAAAGAATTTGCGTTTATCTTAGTATCTCTATTAAAAATTCTCTCAAAGTATTGTTGCATCACCTTTTCATGTCAGGTCATTGAATTTTAAACTTCCCTTCAGACTTTGCCAAATTTTTCAATCCAGTGCTTAACTTTTCCTTTTCTCGAGACACAAGTCCCTGTGCTGTGGTGAGCTGTGATGTATCGACAGCTCCTAACTGCATCTGGTGCCCACAGACTCGCTTCTCAAAGAGCCTGCAAGTGTCCTGGGGTCCCTGAGCAGCGCCTACTCCTTCACCAGGTGTCTTGATTTGGGGTGGGATGCAGAGCCACCCATTTGCATGGAACAGATGCTGATAGCGAGCCCGGAGCTCATCTGTGCCCTGCAAGCAGACTGTCAGCTTTGTGCCCGGCTTCCTGGGCCTCATTGCTATAGAGCACCCGCCCATGCATTTTCTTTTTTTCTTTTCGGGTCATACCCAGCGATGCTCAGGGGTTACTCCTGGCTCTGCACTCAGGAATTACTCCTGGTGGTGCTTGGGGGACCGTATGAGAAGCCGAGGATGGAACCTGGGTTGGCTGCATGCAAGGCAAACACCCTACCAGCTGTGCCATTGCTCCAGCCTCTCCTTGCATTTTATTTTATCTTTTATCCATCTCTTGTCATCAGAATATGACCTTTGAATAGAATTCTTCTAATTTTAACAGTCCTTGCTTTATAAAGATCTTAATTTTCAGTCTTTGACTACTTTTGTTTCTGTTGTCTTGGTTAAGAGACCTCACTGTGCTTTTGAATCCCTAGGGTTTAATTCAGGTCCACCCCTCTCAGAGAGCCCGGCAAGCTACCGAGAGTATCTCGCCCGCACGGCAAAGCCTGGCAAGCTCCCCGTGACGTATTCGATATGCCAAACACAGTAACAACAAGTCTAACAATGGAGACGTTTCTGGGCCCACTCGAGCAAATTGATGAACAACGGGAGGACGGTGACAGTGACAGTGACCATGCTTCCTCATCTTCCCTACATTAGTTAGGAGGGTCTTAACAGTATTTTAAAATTCCCATTTTTTAACTGTTAAGTATAATATCACCCATGATGCTCATAGACCTGTTTCAAAAATATGTCTTTCTCTTTAGGTGGCCTGTTTTTCCATTTTTGCTTTAGAATGTTCTAGTATGGGTTTGTTGGCAAACAAGGTGCTATATCAGCAGATGACAGATTACTTTCTGCATACAAGCCTTCCCTATTTCAGTGAACATCCAGACGGCCCCCATCCTTACCCAGAATCAGGATATGATCCATGTTGCCTTCCAAAGCAGAGTGGGTTCACCCATCTTCTGAACCTCACAAAGTCTCACCCACACAAGAAGAATGATTAACTATAGGTGTTAAACCTTGCAGATTGAGTGATGGTAAGATAGGTTCTGTTTGGAAAATAAAGCTGACAATAACCAAATAGATTTGGCTAATTGTATAATTTCCATATTAGTTAATGAAGTATTGAATGCCTCCAGAATAGCTCTCAATGGTAGGAATTTCATATACCTCCTTTTTCCCTGAATGATCTAAATCATTCATAGAGTCCTCTTCAATAGAAATTGTTAACTTTTCTGTTTTGGATTTTTGGGCCACATCCAGCAGTGTTCTGGGCTTACTCCTGGAAGGCTGGGGACCATGAGGGGTTCCAGGGAATGACCCTGGTCAGCTCTGTGCAAGGCAAGTGCCCTACCCACTGTACTATTGCTCAACTTTTTAAGTAACTTATTTGCAAATTTTCTAATGTAAAGCAGTTTTTCAGTATAGAATATATATGTATATTTATATATATATTTGGGGGGGTCACACCCAGCAATGCACAAGGATTATTCCTGGCTCTGCACTTGGGAATTACTCCTGGCAGTGCTCGGGGGACCATATAGGATGCTGGGAATCGAATCCGGGTTGGCCTCATGCAAGGCAAACATCCTACCCACTGCACTGTGCTATAGCTCCAGCCCCAAGTATAGAATATTTTCACAAATGAATTTAGCACATTAAATGTTTCCTGTTATATTTCTCAGAATCCACAGTCTTTAACTTGGATGATTAGTTTCCTCTAAAAGATAGGATTGATGATTTAGAAACTAAAAGAAATGAGCTGATTTATAAAAATGCTCCTCCGAGCATGGAGACTAAGAGAGCAAACAATCTTTTGACATTATCAAGAAGTTTCATTTACTAACTCCTCAGAGGGAAAGATGTTGATTTGCTCTCATTTTCCATCACGGCTGAAGTGGACAGGGCTCCCCATCTATCAGAGCCCTTCTCAGCATGATCAGGCAGGCCCCTGTGCCAGACTCTGTGAGCCCTGGCCGGCTGAGGGTCGACCACAGAAGTGGGTTACTATCGCTGGGGCATATTGTCGGGTGGGAAATCACGAACAGTGTGACTTACACAATGTATTAAAGCAAGGCTTGCTTCTTTGTGATGGTGTTTGAGACTTAGTGTTCTGTTCATGTGGTATTTGAGTTGGAGTGGGGAAGGGAAATGTTTCGTTTTTTACTGAGAATTAAGATAAATTCTTGTATTTTTTGACCACACCAGGTGATGCTCAGGGCTTACTCCTGGCTCTGTGCTCAAGAATCACTTATGGTGGGCTCAGGTTTGGGGGCCATTTGGGGTGACGGAGCTTGGTGGACCATATACAGTGCATGTCAGGTGTGTGCAAGACAAGAGCCTCATCTGCTGTACTAGTCTGGCCTGGAGAATTGAAAATTTGTAACAAAGTCTACAAGTCCATCTGTCTCTCTCTCACATATATATGTGTGTGTATATCTATGTATACATACATTTGTATGTGTGTGTACATATATGTATATTTTAAGGCTCTACATTATGATTTATACAAAGCCAAGTGAGCATTTTGTGGCCTGACTTAGAAAATCTTGATGCTATGGATTGAATTTTGGTCCATAAAGTTTTGATAAAACTTTTATCTTAAATCTTCATGCCTCATGTGATCCTATTAGGATGTTACCTTGGGAGGCAATTAGATGATGACGTTGGGGTCCTCCCGATTGGGTTAGTGCCCTTATAAAGAGATCCCAGGGCTCCCTTGGTCCTCTGTGAGCACACAGCAAAGAGACAGCTGCAGAACACCAGGGTGTCTTGACCAAAACAGTGAGGACAAGATGTTGATGGGGTGAGTCTCCCCGTGTGCTTCGTTACATAGCTGGAACAGACCCCTGCACTTGGCCAGCAGGGGAGGGAGGCAGCCATGCAGAGCACTGCCCATTGTGCTGAATGGGTCAGGAAACCGCAGGCTGGAAGGAAGCTAAGTAAAGAACTCAGGTCTGCTGAAAGGAACTGCATGTTAGGAGAAGATGAATGAACTGGTGTTTGAGTCTCATCCTAATGTGTAACTGTAGAGTTACTGGGTGGGCTGGACACTGTGGAATGGGGCAGTGCAGAGGAGGACACAGGCTGATTTGGAGGGTGAGAGAGAATGTCAGGAAATGGAAGATTCTGTGATGGAAAGAGGGCTCAGAGGTACTTGGGACGGAACAGACCGGAAGGAACGCGAGTGAGTCGGGATTCCACTAGCTTCTGGGTACTGTGTTGGCTCCCTCATTATAACAGATGTGTAATAATAGATTTTTAAAGGAAACAGGGGGTGGGCTAGATGGGTACTCACTGCAATATCTCTACATCTATTCCTTAAGCCTAACTCGGTAGGTTGTTAAGAAAGAAAACTTAAAAGGTCATATAATTGTGGGGCCTATTGCTGCTGGAGAGGCTGGGAGGAGATAAGGCACCAAGAACCAGACCAGCAATGAAGAAGAGCAACTTCTCGGCAAGAAAGAGGAAGCTGCTTCATACTCAGGAGGATGAAGGACACTAGGAAGAGGGTTTACAACCACACCACAGCAGCACCAGTCCCGGGAAGGACAGTCAGCAGAGCTGGTCAGGGGGGCTGGGGCCTCTGGGAGGGAGAGGACATGGAACAAGCTGCCACCCCCTGCTCAGAAACTGTTAAGCGGCTACATTCTTTTCAGGGAACAGAAAAGATCTTGGCTAGTGGTAAAGCAACACTCAACCTCTTCTTTCTGCCAAGTGTCCCGACCACACTCAAAACAGAGGCTCTAGCACGAAGGACTTGTTTGTATTTGAAAATAATCTGCTACTAGTAGTTAATCCCACTCTACCTGTAGTAGCTAATCCCACTCCTCATCACTGGTAATCAATCCCCAATCCTCACCAGGATTGATTTATTCCCGTCTTCTGTGATTTTTTTTTTAAAAACAATGACATCTTGGTTTTCTATAATTCCATCCCTTAGGAGTTTAAATCCAAGTTTAAACTGAGCATATATTATAATTTCAGGAAAACAAAATGAAAGAACTGTTACCTACCTGGGTCTGTCTTCCTGCATATTCGATATAAACCCACCAGAATAAACACGGAAAGGGTTATTACAATCAAAGCAATAACGACCGGCAAAATAACACCTGGAAGGAATTGGAAACATTGTCAGCTGTCAGGGTACAGAATCTCACAGTACAGAATTTACTAACTAAGCAAAATCGAGCGTGCTTCTTTTCTTCTTTTAATGTCATTTCATGAGAATACTGTGTTTTGAGCAGAGAATATCACAGGTTCTCCTTCAGGGGTAATTTCTGATGTGCCCACTTGATGTCAGTCTTGCAGCCTTTCTGAAATAAAATGCCCAAATTTCAGGGAGACAGCTGCCCACTTGCTGAAGACTGGGAGTGGGAAGTGTGTTCTGGAGCTGTAGTTCGGCCCACGTTCGCATGGAATATTCTGCAGTACTTTGTAAGGAAATTAATGGAAAATGACACACAGGCCGTAGGGGACTGCTCTAATCAGAACACTGATTTTTACCCCGAATCACAGATGTCTTAATAATATCTTAACATGAAAAATAAAGTAATGCCCATGGATGCCTCAGTGATGTGATCTCTGATGCGAACCAAATGCCCGGGTCCAGAAGGGGTTCATGTACTCATGACCAGCATGTATTCATGCCCTCATGTTTAGCCAACGAGGAGGATTATTCAGCATTTGCTGGTTTGTGCTCACACTGGCTGTGCAATTTGTTTCCACCCAAGTCTGCTGATGCTATTGGATCTGAGAGAGCTCACTTGTACCTCCCCAGGGAAGAACCCACAAGGCGGCCAGTGGCCGTGTGCCACAGTCACTGGGGCAGTTTTACCCAGGCAATGGTCTGCTAACACTCCAGCCCATGGAATAGTCGTCTGGATATTCATGTCTGGGGGTCAGTGGCTATTCTCTCTCTCTCTCTCTCTCTCTCTCTCTCTCTCTCTCTCTCTTAGCATCCATGTATATAACATACATTTTTTTCTAAAATGAAACCTTTCTTTAAAAAGGCCATTTTCCACATTAAGATCAACTCTTTAAAGGTGAACAGTTCTTATTATGGGTTTTTTTCCCCCATCTACTGTGGTCTCCAGTTTCACCAATTCCCTTTGGCCTAGGTGGGAACTGCTGAGCACTGTGGTAAGAACAGAATGCCCGAGTTGTCTTCGTCACAGTCAGATTTACTTGGAGGGGTTGGTGGGATCTAACGGGACTGCAGGCTCAGTCAGGATGGAGAGGCACTATGGTCTAATTGCTCCCTCTGTGGGTGCCGCAAGCCCTCGGCAGGTCTGCTGTCTGGGCGCAACTGTCTGCTACTCACTGGAGTATGACGGGCTGGTTGACGAGGGGCTGGCACTGCTGGCATCCACGGCATCTGCTGGATGGAAAGCGGAAAACGAAAACTGTAAGTCACCTTCATTAACGGGTGTCGTCCTCACCCCGCGCCTCCCTGTCTGTGCACCCTTCCTGCCAGTTGCGATACAGGTAGGGTGTTTCCAACACAGAAACCTCTTCTTCTGAAAGAGCTTTGTTTTGTGATTTAAGATTATAAACGGAAATATCTGTACTTGATGAGCTTGGATATTTGTATACACCCTTGAAACCAGCATCACGAATGATGGCATAGGCCTAGCCAGTATCTCAAAAAAAAATTTCTGTATTCCTCCTTTTTATGGGTGTACAGTTTTGGGGGGGGTCCTTGTCAGCCATGCTCAAGGGATCCCAGAACACTTTGTAGTGAGACGCAGCTGACAGGCCAATTTTTCAGTGCCAGACCTGAGGATGTGGGCTGTTAGGGCACTCTGGACAGCTAGGGAGTGAATCATTTTTATGTGTATAAAAATTACACCTCAAAAAAAATGTTCTTGGTCTATGTTTCGTTTAATATGATATTTTCCATATGGTACCACTTGTATGTAAATTTCATGACTTCTGCCTATTTTGCAAACCACAACACCCAAAAGGAGAGAGAGAACAAAAGGGAATACCCTGCCACAGGGGCAGGGTAAGATGGGGGGCTGGGGAGTGGGAGGGATACTGGGACCCATGGTGGTGGAAAATGGGCACTGGTGGAGGGATGGGTGTTTGACCATTGTGCAATTGAAACCCAAGCACAAAAATTTGTAAATCTACAACTGTACCTCATGGTGTTTCACTAACAAAAATTAAAAAAAAATGTAAATGATGGCGAATGGGCACTGGTGGAGGGATGGGTACTGGATCATTGTATAACTGAAACCCAAGCACAAAAATTTGTAAGTCTACAACTGTACCTCATGGTGTTTCACTAATAAAAATTTTTTAAAAAAGTTCTTAAGAAATACTAGTAGGGGGCTGTAGCAATAACACAGCAGGTAAGGCATTTGCCTTGCATGCAGCCAACCTGGGTTCTATCCCCAGCATCCCATATGGTCCCCTGAGCACCGCCAGGGTTAATTCCTGAGTGCAGAACCAGGAGTAACCCCTGTGCATCGCCGGGTGTGACCCAAAAAGCAAAAAACCAAAACCAAACAAAAAACAAAACAAAACAAAACAACAAGAAAATAAATGCTAGTAGTATTTTCTTGCTGAGGAGGGTTGTCCAGCAAAGCTAGTGTCCACTCAAGCACATGGAGGTCTTACCTGGAGGCTGTGAGGTATTTTGTGGAACTGTTCCTGATGTTGAAAGTAATGCATTGACTTCAGAAGTTGGTGCATCTGGTTGCAGAGTGCTAACTGTGGGAAAATCACAAATCCAGTGTCAGACTGTCATTCGCTCTTATTGGAGATCTTTGACAAGTCAACAAATCCTAACACTGATTCGCAGGCTCATCTTTTCCTTCTGAAAGGTGGTCCTTTGGGGTGTCTGCTGCCTCTTACAGGAGCTTCCTAGGCAGTGCAAATTGCAAAAGCATTTCCTCGTGTTTCCTCTATTTGGGTCATAGTGATTGTTTTACCATCACTCTTACTGAAAAGGGACATCAGTCCACAGGACTTCAGATTTGATAGTATTTTTTGGTGCTAATAGAGAAAGATTGCAGCTGAGGCATCGGTGGTTCTCATCACTGGTCCAGTGATGCTCCTTGGTTGACAGTGAATGTCAACCATCAGGGCTCAGACCTGTGACAGCCTACAGATGTTGGAAGGTTGCACAAACCGCTGGTGTCGGGGACCCCCCCCCCCCCGTTCCTTCCCTCTCATGCTGGAGCCCACAGTGGTCCGGCTACTTGCTGTAGCTAAAGCGTCTGCGACTGGCATGCATCACACTGTTGGAGCTCAGGGTTTTGTGGAAAATGGGCCTCATTCACTTATTTTTATTCATTTGCTTAAATTGATGTTTGCCATCCTCAAGCCAGAAGGATTGAAACAGAAAGTTGAAAATGAAAATTCATTTGGAATCTCCATATCTCCGTGTTCTAAGGAATATAAGTGTTTGATAAGCTAATAATAGCTATTCTTGTGAGCCTGGCATAAGATGCAATGTGCGTTTACAAGAATCTTCAATAAAACCCTGTCTTGTGACAGGAGGTGATTTATGTCTGTCCCCCACTTGCCCTGTCTCTGCAGTGAGGAGCTCTGGGAGCTGAGTGCCGATGGCAGGATGGGCTGCAGACCCCTCTCATGGCCCATTCCTTTCTGCAGCTGAGACCACGGTAGTCATGTCACAGCACTGATGGGCCAGGATGCCTCGGATCACCCTCCGTGCCACCCACAGCACAGCCCACGGCGGGCGCCTGCGTTTCTGACGTCTGTGGGGGAGCACACTGTTCAGAGCCTGTGCTGTTCTTCCAGCCGAGGGCGGTGGGAGGGAGCAGATACATGCCCAGAAGAACAAAGGGAAGCATCGGGCCGAGCAGGAGGAAAAGGAAATTTCAGTGAACGAGTGGGTACCAGCGAAGCTGGTGCTTCCAGCTGCTCTTCCCAATGTCAAGTGTGAGAGTGAGGACGAGTCTCTGGCCGAGTTGGCCGAGAATAGTCTAGTCGATTGCACCATGGCATTAATCCACTCGGTGTTTCCTTGTCTGATCACCTTCTCCATCAGAAGCAGGCTGAGTGGTAGCTATCATTCTAAGGATAATCTAGCAGATTCAGATAAAACTCTGCAGTTTGCAATTTAAAATACACTGATTGTCCAGTGCTGATATGTTATTTTTAATAATCCATAGGTAGACAATAGTATTAACCCCTCCTAAAAGGAGCATTCATTGGCTCCTTGATTTAATTTTTTTCTTTAAATGATTAAACTTCAGTTAATTGTTTCAGAATTCAGTATGTATAGACATGCACACACACTTAATAGTTATTGTATGTAATGCCGTCTGCTTTTTTCTATTTTCTCTAATTTTCCTTTTAAAATCACTAATGAGGAGCTAGAGCAATAGCACATCAGGTAGGGCGTTTGCCTTGCATGCGTCCGACCCAAGTTCGATTTCCAGCATTCCATATAGTTCCCCCAAGCACTGCCAGGAAAAATTCCTGAGTGCAAAGCCAGGAGTAACCCCTGAGACCCCTGAGCATCGCTGGGTGTGACCCAAAAAGCAAAAACAAACAAAAAACCCCACTAATGAGAATATTCACTTGATCACTTGACTTCCCGTTAATCGTTTATTTGCTTGAGTGGGTGCCAGTAAACGTCTCCATTTGTCCCTGTCATTTGCTAGTGTAGCCCAATGGCATCTGTTCGCTCTAGGAACACGAAGAGCCTCAAACCGATCATTCATGATGTTGATGAAGAAGTCTGACCATCTGGTAGGTGGGCAGCCACGCAGTCTTTTGACATCCCATGGTATCCAGTTGGTAACAGCTCTAGTCCAGCGGTTGTCTCTAAATCTCATTACGTGACCAGCCCATCTGATTTTTGACACCTTGGCAAACGAGACAGCGTCCTTGATTCTTGATCGTCAACGGATGTCGGAACTCCGGATTCTTTCTCTCATTTGAGTGAAATGTGATATTCCAAGCATAGCTCTTTCAATTCCTCTTTGGGAGACCCAAATAGCGTTCTCATCCTATTTACGTAGGGCCCAGGTCTCTGAGGCGTATGTTAATGCAGGAAGAACAGTGGAATCAAAGAGATGTGCCCAGAGCCAGAGGTTCTTCATCCTCTTAGCTATAACCAAGCTCAATGAGGTTTCTCGGGAGTTCAAGATGCCGCTCTGTCTAACGTTCATTGATTTAAAGAAAGGCTTTGATTCTGTTGAGATGGAAGCGGTCACTGAAGCCCTAGCCAATCAGGGCATTCAAACTCAATACATCAAGATCCTCTGTGAGCTGTATTATGGATTCACTACCAGGATCTCACCATTCTACAAAGAAGTAATCATTGATGTCAAGAGAGGGGTTCGGCAGGGTGATACCATTTCACCGAAACTCTTCAGTGCCACCCTTGAGAAAATCATGCGACGACTGAAATGGGAAGGAATGGGAGTGAAGATAGATGGTCGGCAACTACATCACCTCCGCTTTGCTGATGACATTGTTTTAATAACACCAAACATTAGCCAAGCGGCACAAATGCTGGCCGACTTTGACCGTGAGTGTGGAAAGGTTGGACTACAGCTGAATCTTACGAAGACAATGTTTATGAGAAACAGCCTCGTTCCTGACGCCCCATTCGCTCTCAATGGAACAACCATCTCCGAATGCAACAGCTATATGTACCTAGGTCGAGAAGTCAACATGACAAATGACCTGGCACCCGAGCTGCGCAGGAGGAAGAGAGCGGCTTGGAATGCCTTCAAGAGCGTCGAAGAAATGAGAATATTCAGAATTTGGAACTCCCTCTCTACTAGTATGACCACATTGATACAATCAGAGTGCGTGGTTGAATTCATAAACTGTAAATCTCAGGCTATTCTTTCTGTGGCGTGGGTCCTGGTGTGTCTGGAGCTGATGGCCTCTGTGGGTTTGCAGGGTCTGTTCTCATCTCTGTCTAGGGAACACTGGCCGGGGAGAAGGAAAGGTTGGGAGGGGCAGCTGCAGACAGTAAGAAGCTGGTGCCCGGGACAATAGGAGCAGGGAACGACTTGATGCCGGTTTTCTGCAGGATTCTTTCCCACAACTACTAATGGTGATTAAATAGATGTATGTTCATATTGTTGTGAAAATTAAATGAGTAAAAATAAACTTCGCTTGCTCAGTAGTTCTTGATACAGACATGCTTGTGTTGTACATTCTACTAGTGTCATGTTGTGACCCAATGTTATGTTAATAGATTATTTTACCAGATAGGCATTTTCATGGTGGACTTAGTATAGTACATTCTAATGCTGATTTATGATGAAGCACACCTTAGCTTTATCTAGTTTTATAGTATAATGCTACTTCTTAGAACTTTAAAATATGTGTATTATGTTCTAAAGGACTCTCTTACACTGACTGTGTCTCTAGAGAGTTGTCCCTTTAACCAAAGACATTCTGTGTAGTTTCTAAAGTTCTAATACCCAAGCATCTTTGGTAACAGGTAAATGATGAAAGGAAGTTTTAATTTAGGTGAAGCTGTAACTGTTAGCAGTATAATGCTGCCCTTCAGAGACTTGCTGCTGTATCTTGGCCTCTGTCCCGTGTCCACCTGACGTATGGCCTGCTCGCAGAGCTGTCCTGTGGCTTACAGACACCCACGTCTCTCTAGTCCTTTGTTGAAGCTGATCCTTTGTCTATAAATCTGTTTTTGGAAAATAGGTTTACATAACTCAAAAAAGCCTAAATGAGCTTTTCATTACACTTAAAAATAAGTTATAAAGCTAACAGCTTTATTTTGCAAATACAACTCCTTTAAGGGATTCAGAGATGTCTCTATTCTTCCTTGATGGCAATTTCTTCCCCTGGCCTCTTTCCCTGACTTCTCAGCCATGGGCTCTGGACAGAGGCCTGGGTGGGAGGACCTGGACCAGGCAGGAATGGCCCCGCAAGCCTCACACTCACTGGTTGGTTTGCTTTGTTTTCCCAATGCTTTTTCTAGTGGATTTTGAGGCTTGTGGGCAGAAATAAGAATTAAAATATGGCAATGAGGATAATGAAAAGAATAAGAGAAAAATGACTATTAATGGATACAGTATTTGAAGATAGTTAAAATTTAAAAGCACAATAATTTTAGTTTGAATTAGGTAGAAGGTAAGCTATACGTTTACTTAGGAAAATGTATTAGTATCACTCATATTTTCATGACTTTAAAATTTAATTTTCTAGGTTTATTTCAAAGGTGGGCTGGAACGATAGCACAGCGGGTAGGGCGTTTGCCTTGCATGCAGCCAAACTGGCTCACCCAAGTTCGATTCCTCTGCCCCTCTTGGAGAGCCCAGCAAGCCCCCGAGAGTATCTCGCCCGCACGCCAAAGCCTGGCAAGCTACCCGTGGCATATTCGATATGCCAAACACAGTAACAAGTCTCACAATGTTACTGGGCCTGCTCTAGCAAATCGATGAACAACAGGGTGACAGTGACAGTATTTCAAAGGTGATGACAACTATGAATTAGTGATTTGTTCAAGAGTCATGTAGGATGTAGGAAGATTAAAAAAATTTCCCAGTAGAAAAGAAGCTAGGCACAAATATCTTTGTAATTTTTTGATTCATGGTGATTCAGCTGAAAAGAAAAGAAGCAAAGCCTCTGCCTGGCCCCAGGTGGGTGGGTCTCCAGGCTGAAAGCTCAGGGGCTTTTTCACTCTCCCTCCCCTCCATGGAAGGGCCCAACTTCACAGCCGCATTCCCAGGCACTGGTGGGAAAGTCGCACAAAC